TTACGAGCAGTGCTCCAGCAGTGAGTACTACTGTGATCAGCGACACCAACTTTTGCTGATTGTAATGCTACAGCAATTGCTACCACTATGACTAATGCTCCAACAATTACTACTACGATCACTGCTACAGCAGTAAATGCTGCTGTGATTCGTGCTACACCAACTTCTACTATGATTAATGCTACAACGATTGCTACGACTATGATTATTACCACAAGTACCGCTGTTACGGGTAGTGCTCCAGCAGTGAGTACTACTGTGATCAGCGACACCAACTTTTGCTGATTGTAATGCTCCAACAATTGCTACCACTATGACTAACGCTCCAACAGTTACTACTACGATCACTGCTCCAGCGATGAGCATTACCACGATTCATGCTACACCAACCCTTGCTGTGATTCATGCCGCAACAATTACCACTGTGAGCAACGCTCCAACAGTTACTCCTATGACCACTGCTCCAGCGATGAGCACTACTATGATTCACGCTGCACCAACTTCTACTATGATTAATGCTACAACGATTGCTACGACTACGATGATTACTATGAGTACCACTGTTACAGTGTTGCTCCAGCAGTGAGTACTACTGTGATCAGCGACACCAACTTTTGCTGATTTCAATGCTACAGCAATTGCTACGACTATGACTAACGCTCCCACAATTACTGCTACGATCACTGCTCCAGCGATGAGCACTACTGCGATTCACGCTGCACCAACTTCTACTACGATTAACGCTACAACGATTGCTACGACTACGATTATTACGGCGAGTACCGCTGTTACGAGCAGTGCTCCAGCAGTGAGTACTACTGTGATCCACGCTGCACCAACTGCACCATGATCCATGCTCAAACTACTATGATTCACACCGCACCAGCTTCTACTATGGTTCACGCTACATCACGCTGGCATCCACGGTGTCCGCCGGGCACCCTGGCGCGGCGCCCCGTGGACAGCCACGCGGTGTGGGCGTCTCCGCACGCCCCAGTCCCGTCTTCTCGTAAATGCCCACAGCGGGGCGTGGTCCCTCAGGCTCGCCCGGGCAGGCCAGGCAGGACCTGCTCCGGCCCCGGCTGCGTCCCGCGACCCGGACCCCGGGGAGGGCGCGCGGCTGCAGGTCCGCGGTGTTGGAGACGGGACGTCTTGGACACACCCCCGGTCGCACCTTTCTGCAGGTGACGGGGTGCGCTGGGGGGCTGTGTCCACCCAGGGGGACGAAGAACAAAGGAAAAGGTCACCCCATGGGCGCGGTGACCTCTGGAGACACCCCTTGAGCCTTGAGAGCACGTCCCGGCATGACCTTGAGGCTTGAGAGCTGCCCTGGCATGGCCTTGAGAGGGCGCCCTGGCATGACCCGGAGAGGGAGGGCGTCCCGGCATGACCTTGAGCCCTGAGAACACGCCCCGGCACCACCTTGACTGCACGTCCCGGCACGACCTCGACAGGGCCCGAGCCTCGCTCTCCCGCTAGGGGGCGTCTGCGTCCTTACGCCGACCAGCCTGACCCGGCCTGACCCTCACGGCAATTTACGGCCCCGAGCGACAGAGGCTGTAATTACTGTGCCGTGGCCACTGCGTCGCAGGGACACGGATGACCCCGGGGAGCTGGACCGGCGAGCCCGGGCCCTCCCCTTGCAGACAGGGCCTCGTTATCCACCCGCCCGGTCGGGGGTGCACACAGGAAGGGGGTCCCGGGCTCCGTGGGGGGCCCCCACAGGCGGGTCCCGCCGAGGACAGCAAAATATTTCTCAGTGGACCCCACGCCCTGCCCACGCCCTCAGCCCTCTGCCCGAGGCACCGGGGTAAAAGCAGGAAGACAGTTTTGTGTGGAGAGCGGAATACTACGCAGCCCTGAAAAAGGCAGACGCTTGTCATTTGTGAGTACGCAGGTGACCCGCGGGGTGCCGGGCGGGGGGCCAGGCTGAGGCCGAGGGACGCCACGGAGTCCCCCTCACTCGCCCCTGCTGGCTACTCTCGGGCCGCCCGGGGCATTGCGACGGCTCCGCTCCGGCCCGACCGGGTCCGACCCATGGGACGGCCGGTGGCCGTGGGGCCCCGGGCGTCTCCGGAGACGGGTCCTCGGACCCCACGGGGACGGCAGCTCGGGGGACCCCTGTGATTCTCTCTGCGCCCTGGACGCCGCAGGGGACGCACAGGGCGGCCGTGGGGGGCCCCAGACGTCCATCGCGGACGTCCACGACCTAAGCGGCGGCCGGGACGGGGCCGGACGTGGCCTCCGTGGTCTCCTCCGCCGCAGTGAGGACCGGAGGACGGCAGGGTGTGGACGCCGGGTGCTGGACCCTCGGCTGACCCCCGTCCAGCGGGACACGCGGACACAAACCCTCTCCGAGCACCTGCAGGCGCAGCCCTGAGTGGACACTCGCCCCTCCCTGCTCACGAGTGACCCACAGTCCCCAACAGCCGCACCCCAAGCCCCCCTGGACGCGCGGTCCAGCACCGCTCACCTGTGCACGCTCACCTGTGTCCGGCACTGGCCGCGGCCCGTCCAGGACGTGGCGGTCACTCTGCGCGGGACGAGGGTCATCGGGCAGCGCACACGGGGCCTTCCAGCACTGGCCGGCTGTCCTAGGACGGGGCCCTGGCGCTGAGGCCGACCCCGGGCCCGAGGGGCACGCGGACACGGGCGTTGCCCTCGCCGGCCGCCCGGCTGGGCACCAGCCGTCTTTTCGATCACCCCGAGGAGGATGCCAAGCCCCCGGCGTCCACGGCTCCGCGGAGTCCGCCGGGAGAGGACCCCTGAGCGGCCCTGGGCGGTCTTGTGGGTCCACGCTGTCCGGCTGGGAGGCAGCAGCGTCCACCCTGGTCCTGCGTCCCCCGAGCGCCCCGGGGCTCTGGTCATCTCGGCAGCTGTCCCCGGTGCCCCCGGTCTTCTCCTCTCCCAGGACGTCCCCGTGCTGCGGGCCCAGCTCTCGGCCAGCAGGGACAGAGCTCGGAGGACCGTGCGTCGCGGGGCTGCCCGGCCGGCTAGTGTCCGCTGCCGTCCGGCCGCCGAGTCGCCTGACCGGCCCCGTCCCGTCCATCTGCAAAGAAGACACGTTGTCTGTGACACTCGCCTCGGGCTGCAGGC